ATCCAATCTCATCTCAATCTCATCTCATCTCAATCTCATCTCATCCCATCCCATCTCATCGCTTCCTCTCCCATTTGTGGCCCAAGGTGCTTGTTCGGGGCAACACATTCACCTCAACGTGACGAGACCAACTCGATACCCGCGGACGTGGCAGGAAAAGCAGAAAAAACTATAAATACTAGGTCAACACGTTTCTCGAGCCGGCAGAGGTTTTATGTCTTGGCTCCTCTAGAAGCTCCGAGAGAGCTTGACAGCTGACCTTCATTTCAGAAGGGCTCTCGGTTTACTGCTGTGGACCTCTAAGCTCGCAATAATTAGAACGCTTATTCGCAACGCTCTAAGCATGTCCAGCCGCATAGATTAAGAGGTCACGCAGTGCAGAAGTGAGTTGGGACGGGAAGAGGCCGAGTGCTGCACGGCAAGAAGGCCAAGATGCCTCCCCCAGTGGTAAAACCTCCAAACTCTCTGTTTAACATCCCCTAAAATGACTAGAGACGTAAAATCTTCTTAGGGGGCAGCTGCCACCATCCTGCCTTGAGGAAAATAAATTACAGAAAATCATCGTTTACCTTCTTCTCGTCGGTCAGGTCAAGAGACTCGAGGTGCTTGCCCTGGTGCGCCGCGTACAGCTCCAGCAGGTTGTCGAAGTTGGTGGTTAACACGAGCGCCCCGTTCTCCATCAGGTGTAGCACGGCCTGAAGCAGCTGCTTCCCCGAATCTTCCATTTTCGACTCCAGGTCGTCAAACACCTCGTACAAACAATCTTTGAAAAAGGTGGAGCGAGCGTTGCTCGTGCGCTGCGAAGGGGAAGACAGGTTAAGAGCTTCGCGCCCGAAGACTCGACGGAAAACTACCCCTGTGTTTCTTGAAGACCTCCCCAAAATCTTTGGAAAGCCAAACCCGGAGCCAATTCCTCCGCTTGGGGTGCAGCTCTGAATATTTACGGACGGTCCTACGAGCACACTCACCGGAGACAGCTTCTGGATCAGGTCGTGGGCGACGTGAACCAAGTTCTTGTCTTCGTGGAGGCACTTTTGAAACCACTTGCTCTCTTCTTCCTCCAGGAGATCGAAGTCGACCGCGGCGTCCAGAAGGGCCTGGATTAACCCCTTCCAAGACTTGAGCGCCGGCACCTGGGGAGCAACAGCGGCGCTGATCCCCGTCCCGATGACCAAAGCGAGCTCCTGCGGCTTCTTGGTTTTGAGACTTGGCAAGAGCTTCCTGCGAGAGGAGAAAAACCAGCACGGCTGGCGTCAGCGGAGACGGGAGGAGATCTCGGGTGGTGGAGACCAAGGACAAGTTCCCTCTGCCTAAATTTCAAATCAATGTGTCCATTGGGGTCCTCTGCTCAACATATTGGGACAAGAAATCCCTCTCCCGTTACAGCCGCGGGTCAATCTTTCAGGAGTCTGGGTGACGCGAAGGCTAAATTCTCCTTCCTCCTCCTCCTCCCCTTTTCCTTCTTCCCTCGCTTTAGAGCCGCGCGGCGCTTCTAAATTTGACCCTTATTATTTATTAACCGGCTCCCTTGCTGAATTAGCCGCGCGTTGGCAGGCGGCAGCGCCTTAATTTCCGAACTGGGAGCGTCGCGCGCTTCGACGCCGCGAGGCGACGAAGACAGCAGATCTTAGAAGCGATTCGCCGGAGCGTAATTTAATTTACCTGGGCTTTTTCGCGGGGGGGATTCCATCTTCCAACAAAGGTTCTTTACCCAGGCTCACCGTGGAAGCCATCTCTCCAGCAGACAAATCACCACAAGCAAAGTCACTACATACGTGTGACGTGGAACCACGGGGGTTTTGTCGAGCCGGCGGATAAATAACCGGGTCTTGTTATCTTTCTGAGAGCACCTTCGGGCTGAGAATTGCGCTTTTTTGTTTCTGAACTTTGCCCCGTGGCTTTCGTCCGCTTCCTTAACTCTCCTTTACAACGAAGCTCGGGGGAAAAATCGCCCCTTCCCGCCGCGATGCCCGAACGCGCCGCTTGGGAAAACAGCGGGAGGGAAGAAAAGAAAGAAAGACAAAAAGTTTTTTTGGCAGCTACAAAAAGCCACCGAGAGCGCTTCGTCCTCTGGGTGACGAGAGAAGAATTCCCCTGCCCGCCATACCTCTACAGGTGGTGGGACAGGACTTTAGAAAAAGAAGACGATTAAAAGAGAAAGAAAACAAACAGAACCGTTCACCCGGATCCGTTTTATTTCTTGCCAAGCGTGACGGATTGTCCAGCAAAAATTCTGGCAGGCAGGCTTCGGCCGAAAAGGAAACGCTGTGTAAGAGCTGCTGGCCTGAAATCAGTGGGTTTTTTGTTTTTTTTTTTAATGATCTGAGTGTTTGTCCCACAAACGAGATACTCAGGGTAACCATCCATGGGTACGAAACCTCAGCTGGGCTCAGTTTAAGATTATTACGAGATTATTTTTCATCATCTGGATGACAAAAACAGGGCACGCCGACCCTCGTGGACGCTCAGCGGGCTTGCCACTTCCAAAACTTTGATAGTTAACATTATAATAACGTAAGTATACTAATAATAACACCTCAGGGAGATGCTTTTCCTCAGAAGGAGCCGGCGGACATACGGTAACATTAAACTTGTCCTGAGCGAAGGCAGCCAGGACAAAAAAAAAATTTAAAATGGTGAATTAGCTGCTTCCAAGGCCAGATGCTAAGACATTTTAGGTGAGCTAAGGGCTAAACCTTCGTTAACCGGAATATTTAAGGAGGAAATTGGGGAAAGCGACAGGCCGGCTCTCAACTCCCTCCGAGGCAGCGCACCCAGCAGGTAAAAACCTTCCCTGCGCCCTCCGCAGGCTCCGTTTGAAGATGGAATTTAAGTTTTTATTAGCTTAGGTCCCGAATTATCCACAGAAACCACCCCCAGGGAGCCCCTTTATAGGCCCCC